TAATTCCACCATGTCACTATTGATGTTCGAATCTTGATCTGTTTTTCTCAAATACTGCATAATAAACCAATGAGCTAAGTTTGTGCGGGTATTCAATATTTCTTCTTTTTTCAAAAGATTGAATTCCCAACCCCAAGGGCCTCCAACGTTCCATTCCGACAGAGCATTTGAGAGGTTGTAAATCACGGTGACTCACTGGCTCAATAAGTAGGGTCAAATACCGATGCACACAAAGAATCTGTCAACTTTAAATATAATTTCTATACTATCGTTGTTGAGATTTGAAATTTTGTCTATTTTTTCAAATACTATTTACTAAATTAGTGAAATAAACCCGTTCTGATAACATTCAGTAATTCTCTCATATGCGGGTGGGGGACACTACATGCTCTTTTCGGGCCCCACTTGGACGGACCATTCTTCTATTCCTTCTTTTATTGCTCTTTTACCCCTTCTTTTACGCCAAAATTACCTTCCCTGCCATGCCACATTGCCACTCTTAAGCTCTTCTTCGAATAGTAAAAATTAAAATCATTTTGTCCCATCATAATTTAATACTCCGTAGTTTAAAGGTAAAAATGAGATAATTAGTTTCAACCGTGTTGATAATTAAAGTATCAAAATTTGATTTTAGTCGATAACATGACTTAGAGTTAAACCCGTTATGGATACATTTTGTGATTAATTTCTTCTTTCGTGTTTTGGGGATTGAATAGTGGGAGACCATTGAGGATTAGATTTGACCTTTTACAAAAGCAATGTTAATGGTTGTGATAACATTTGAATAGTAATAGTTAAAATGAATTAATGTCATATGGGTCTTACAAGTATGGTAGTTTTGCTACATTTAGTTTTAAGCTTTTAAATTGACCACTCGTGATTTTTCGACTTTCAAATTACTTCTATCTGTGGTCTAAGTTAACCACTCATGGTCCTTCAAATTTCGAAATTTAACCAATTATGGTCCTCCTAAAAAGACCATGGGTGTTTAAAATTTGATAGTTGAAGGATCATGAGTGGTTAACTTAGACCACAGTCCATGGATGGTAAAACTTTAAAAGTCGAAGGATCACAGGAGGTTAATTTGAAAGTTTCAGACTAAACGTGACAAAATCACTATACTCGGAGAACTCTAGATGGTATCAACTCTAGTTAAAATTGTTCAGTACTTTTATTCAACATTATATTTTTAGTTGAAATTTCTTTTTTAAAAATGACTTTCATTACTATTTTATCAAACATAAAAAAAAGTTGTAACTAAAGTGATAGATAAATCCTACTATTACTTAGTAAAACGAGAAATAAATAGCGATGGATGAAAGGACATGTCATTTCAAACAAGTTTCACTATCTTCTCGAAAGCACGATATTTTCTTCTTCCTACTTGTTTCCAAACTTGAAGAAAATTTCTATTATTTCTTTCTCTTTTCTTGTTTGGGGAACAAGGCTCTTAAATGGCTAAAAGCTAAGCAAAGAGATGTTTGGTACAAAATTAATTCGAAGTAGGTCAATGTATCATTTATGTACACCATTTCCATAGTTGTGAACATCGCACCAAGTTACGATTCCTATTGGTTGACATATTAAGAGTACTAAGTCAATTCCAAACTTCGATTACATTGTGATCACGTATTTTCTCATAAAGTTTAAATTAAAGTTGTTGCACACAATATATCTGAGATCTCTTGTTAAATTAGAAAAGATTTGCGTTATTTCATTCACACTGCCTGCCTACACATTTATTTGCTTTAAGCATGGCAAATGTATGTACGGGCATCTATTTGCAGCAGAGACTAACAACTTCAATTCCCCAGTGCAATGGTATAATGAATGAGCAGTTGCACTTAAAACTATTTTTCAATGACAGACTGGAGTGTAAACTCCACCACAGACAATCTGGAGATGAGTTTCACCAATTTGGTATAGGTTGTGGTTGCACTCTTTGTGAGAGATTTACCTCTTTATTATGGATCTGGAGATGAGTTCATGAAATTTAAGACATAGTCTGACAAAATTGAAAAATCTGATTATTTTTTAAAAAAATAGAATAGAAACTTCATTAATGGCTGCCATGGACTTAAATTCCCCTTCTAGTTAATTGATTACATTTTGAACGTTGCATAGAAGAGAGAAGATTGCAGTATTGCACGTCACTCTTGTGGAACCTATAGGCAAGGCTTAAAGGAATCACAATATTAGGAAAAAAAGTTGTCATTTTAACTTTTAAGTAAACAAATTTATACAATTCAATTGCCGGAATTTTACCCCTTTTTTTTCTTGAAATACTCGTGATTTTTTTACAATGTAATATCTATTCTATGTTTTCTCAAACATTTTTCAGTCCAAAAGATTTAAACTTCTACCACCAGGGTTCGAACTTATGACCATCCATTTGGATTGGTAACCGGGATGTCATCACACTATATGATAGTTGCGTTGGAATTTTACAAAATAGAAAAAATTTCACTTTTGATACGTTGACTATTATATATGTATCAAATTTGATCATAAAGTATTAATATTTTCAAATTAGGTGCATGACTATGTAATTTGTACGGAGTATCACATTTGATCATTGACTATTAATATTTTAAAATTAGGTGCATGACTTTGTAATTTGTATCATATTTGGTCTTACCATCCAAATTTTCGCCAACTATTGCCGAAATTTTAACTAGAAAATTAATTTGTCTGACAATAATTGGCCGAAAATACTCTTTATATTATTTTTCATTGATTTCTGATAATAATTGGCTAGAAACTTGGCTCGAAAATTGAACGGCAGAACCAAATGCGATACAAATTACATTGTCATGCACCTAATTTGAAAATATTACTCCCGTAATAATCAATGACCAAATGTGATACAAATTACATAATCATGCACCTAATTTGAAAATATTAATAATAGAGCCAATGACCAAATATGATACATGTATAATAGTCAAATGTCTACAAAATATATTAACATTGGAGTTGAAATGTATGCATATAATGTTTACCTAAATTCCTACGTAAAGTTGTATATTATTGAATATTTAAAATGTAAATTACTATAAATAAAAAGTACTGAAATTTTGTAAATACTAAAGAATAAAATTATTATTCTATTTTTAAATATGTTTTATCATTTTCTATAATTTAATAGTGAACACAATGAAGACATGTTAAGATGGTTAAGTTTGTACACAAAACTAAGGTGTATATAATTTTGATGTAATGAATAATTTGCACCATTTTTTACTTTTACATGGAAAAGGCTTTTTCTTTGACTAAATGAAAAATTAGGGACCCAAATATAATATTTTAATATTTCGAGATTTATAAATTTATTTATTAAAGTTTTGCGACTTTACACTTTTCCTTTTTAAATTCTTTTTTTTTAGTGAAATATAAAAGTGAAAGTGGAACCAATACCCTATTGTTTTATTGGAGCTTAGTTTTTTTTTTTTTTTTTTTTTTTTTTTTTTTTTTTTTTAAAGAAATTTTTAAAAAGTGAGGGAGTGAAATTTGGGAGTACAAGTAAAACTCTTACCTGATGTATAAAATAATACATGCCGCCTCCATTGAGTCTTGATATCATAATCTTCCATAATCTTCCATCTTCCATATGGGAGAGTCACTACATACCATCTAAGCACAAGGTACTTGGCTACCCCTTTTTATCTCATTTACTTGTTATGTTTAATATTTATTAATCAAATCAACTGTTTTTCTTCTTTTATTATTTTTAGTTTTTTCTTATAATTTTTAAATTTAATTTTTTGTATTTAATAATACTTTTAATATAAATTTTAAATATATAATTGAACTAAACATATAAAATAAGATGAAAGAAGTATTCTACCTAATGGCTAAGACAAAAATTTGTGCGTGAGACAGTCTCACGAATCCTTGTCAGTTAGACGGGTTGGGTCAATAAGAAATGTTATACTTATATTAGCAAATGTAATGCTAAATCAGAAATAAAATATTTATTACTTATATGAAAAATGTAATACTTTTGATGACAAATGTAATACTTTTACATTTTGATGTAAAAGTATTATATTTTTCATCAAAAGTATTACATTTATTTTTTTATTAGTGCAACATTACTTATAAGGTAAAATATAATACTTTTGATGAAAAAAATAATAATTTTGCATCGAAATATAAAAATATTATAATTGTCCTAAAAATATTACGTTTTCCATTATAAGTAACAAACATTTTATTTCTGATTTAGTATAATATTTGCACATCAATCCAACTCGGCCCGATCCATTTCATGAATAAAAATTCTTGAAACGGTATCACACAAGTGTGACCAAATAAGTAATACACGACCAAGAGAAATTATGGTGAAATTGTAAAACTAGTTCTACTACATGTATTTTCAAATTCTATTCTTCCACTTTTATCCATTATGTAGCAACCAGTGATAGGATACTTTTACCGTGTGGGTCCCCAGCAAAATGTCTACAACAACAATTTGTAAGAAAAAGTAAAAGTTGAGAGTAAGAAGTGAGAATACATGTAATATTTTCTTGTAAAACACAAAAACTAATCGGGCGTTTGGTTGGAAGGAATGAATTAAGAGGGAAAAGAATTGTAATTTGGTGGAAAAAGAATAAGGTGGGAATAAAGTAAGAATTCAAATTAAGTGTTTGATATAGATGAATATGATTACAGAAAATTAAAAGGGAATAAGTAATACAATGACTGAAATGCCCTTATGTAATAATAAATGAGAATAATAAAGGGATAAAATTATCTTCACAACAATATATTCTCTTATTCTACCACTGAATTACAATTCATTAGGGGACGTTATGAATTGCATTTCGGTGTACGTGTTGTAAGAGTGGGAAACAGAGAAGAAATAGAAATTGAAGTCCGGGGGTGGATTTGTAATTTACCAATGCCACACCGAGGTAAATAACGAGAACCTTAAGGGGCAATTATGGAAGAAAAAAAGTGATACAAGAGAGGTATAAGCAGTGTATTTCTCGGCCAATAGATTCACTTGCACGGAACACCGCCGTGGTTTCACATCTCTCTCTCTCTCTTTCTCTCTCTCTCTTTCTGAATTTGCCTTCTTTATAATCCCCCATTTGTCATTTCTCCCAAAATCCCTCACATCTCCGAACACCATTTGAAGCGAGCCAGCAATCAAGAACCGAACAGAAGAGGAAAAAGAAGCTCAGAGGTTCAGAAATGGAGTCCCCCACACTCCCAGCAAGAAGAAAGCATTGTTTCATGGAAGAAGACGATGGACTTGCCTCCATAGTCCCAGATCTCGAGCCCCCCTTCCCTGCAAATCATAACACTAACACTAATCTCATCTCCAGGCCCCTCTATTTACAGAGGAGGAGAAGCAGCTTCCTAAACCTCTCTTCTTCTTCTTCTTCTTCTTTGGTCCCTTCTCCTAGCCCTAGATATGGTGGTGGTGGAAGGGTGTTCTTGATTGATGGTAGATTTGAAGATGTGTTGCCCCTCCCCCATTTCCTGGACTCCTGTTTTCTCTGCAGAAAGCCCCTGGGGAACATGGATATCTTCATGTACAGGTTTGTTCATTCATGCATGGTTTCCCCTTTTCTGGGTTCAATCTTTTAGAAAAAAGATGTGATTTTTGTGGTGGGTGAATTTGCAGAGGGGACACGCCGTTCTGCAGTGAAGAGTGCAGGCAAGAACAGATAGAAATGGATGAAGCAAAGGAGAAAAGATGGAATCTTTCTGCTTCCATGAAAGCAAGAAAGAAGGATCAGAAAAGAACTTCTTCTTCTCCTACAAAAACCTCTGAACAAGGCTACACTTTGGGCACTGTTGCTGCTGCCTAACCATATATCATACAAATGAATAAAATAAAAAAAAAACTAAAAAAAAATAGAAAAGAGAAGAAAATCCCTTCCAGGAAGGGAGAAAAAGAAGAAATATTAAATATACATATGAGGACTTTTTCCTTTTATTTATTTTTCCTTTTTTCTTTCTAGCATATCAGAATGTACATGGGGTGATAAAGAGGTGCTGTTTTGGCTGTGGAAAAAAAAAAAACAAGTGTGATGGCCCCTCTTCTTCTATGGTGGCTTGCCAAAGTGTTTTTTTCTTTGGTTCCCTCTGTAGGCAATGATAAGAAGTAATGATAAAACAGCTTTGGACTCTTTCCTGTTCTTCCTAGTTCCCCGTAGTTATAAATTATGGTTTGTTTTTTTTTTTTTTTTTTTTTTTTTTTGAGGAAAATTATGGTTTGTTTTATTATGTAAAATGTGTTCTTTTCTCTACAATCTACCACTTAAGTATTGTTGTCCTTTTGAGATTGGAAAAACCATTGTTGCAGACCTATTGAAAGACTTTCTTTGATGTTTTATTATTATTATTTTTAATACTATTAACTCACTGATGGAAATTATTGAACTAAATATATTGGGTATCGTTTTAAAAGTGAGAGAACTAAATTAAGTACTATTAATACTTTGGGACTAAATCGAGTATTAGCTAATGGTCAGAGGATCAAAATGGGTATTAATTCTCTTTCTCTCTATTAATATTTTGGGACTAAATCGAGTATTAGCTAATGGTCGGAGGACTAAAATGGGTATTAACTCTTAATACGCATTTTGATCTTCTGACCATTAGCTAATACTCGATTTAGTCCTAAAGTATTAATAGTACTTAATTTAGTTCTCTAACTTTTAAAACGATACCCAATATGATTCTCCGTTAGAATTGTCATCTATCCACCATTATTTTGAAGGGCATAAGCATCATTTTAGTTGCTTACCGTATCCTCCTTAGCCCTCTGTCCCATCTGGTGCCACTTCGGCAGGGCAGGCGCAGTCTCCTGGAAAGACAATTACTCGAATTGAAGAAAAATACACATATAAGTACCAGCGCCAGCCACAAAAGTTCAATCATTTTGTAGGGGTGAATATAAAAACCTAACAAATTCGAACTACTAATTTCAAATATATCAATGGCTGGTAGAAATATATACTAAAAGAGTGTGAAGACTGACGGTAATAGAACCTGGATGCTGAAACCGTCGTCAAGGGAGACATTGTGAGACTCATCCGGGATGAAATTGCCAGTTCCATCGCCTTGAAGCATCATCTGACACTCCCTGCGATCAAGATCGGAGGCGAGGGCCGCCAAATCGAACTCTGAGAAGCACGGACCCTGCAACACAGTGCTCACGCAATGCACATCGCAGAGCTTAGATTCCTGCACCTCGTGGTACAACATCCCACCATTGCTAGCTGTTGCCCCTTCTATTCTAATTGCTTCAACAAATTTAAACCCTAATTTCCACGACTTTGTTTTGTCTTTTGAATATAATATTGCCTATATTTGGTTGATCATGTATATGTACAAATGTCTGGATAGTACAATTGTGCATTCGTGTGTGCTGTTTGTGCAACCTAGTGTTGTAAGTTGTGCACAATAGGGTGGTGAGTTGTGCATTAGTGCATCGTAGGATATTGAGATGTCCACTAGGATTTTTAGGTGGTGTTTGAATGCACAACTATAGACTTATCGATGCACAACACTCTGTATAGAAATGCACAACAATTTGTATAGTAATGCACAGATTCTAATAAGACTAATTTACCCATAAATTTATATTATTTAATATTTTAAAGGGATTTGTTTCCTTAATCCGTGTGATTTGTTCCTTTTAATCCCAGCCATGCTTTATTTTGATTTAATGATCTAGATTAGTCCTCACGTCCTCATCTAAGGTTAGGTCCTCACTTGATCCTTACTATATATATATATATATATATATATATATATATATATATATATATATATATATATATATATATATATATATATATATATATATATACTAGTCTTTTCTATGCGCGATGCGCAAAAACATATGTCCAATATTTATATTTTTAAAAATAACTAACAAATTCCTATTAATTAAAATATATATGAAATCAAATTTATTTATTATAATAATAATCCAATATATAATGTCTACAAATATTATATTATCATTAAAGAATATAAGAAAATATATGGTGGATGCATGTGCATAGTAACAATAATGGAAAATATAACGGAAGTTATAACGGTATGGGTATTTTTGTCCAAAAAATTATATAGTTCAACTCTAAAAGTACAATGTACAAAATGATTAGCACTAAAAACATGGACATAAATGAGGGATATAACTTTGATTGAGACTTATTTTATATATATATATATATATATATATATATATATATATATATATATATATATATATATATATATATATTTGCGTTCAAGGCTTGAATGTCCTATTTGTACGATAGACTTTTAAAGAGTCTTTGAAAGTAAGGTTGAATAGAATACCACCAAAATTTAAAAGCCTTTAAAACTTTATAAAAGTCTTGATTGAATACAACCCGGCCCCCTAAATTTTCTCAACAACATTTCACCTTCATGTATGATAAATGAAAGGGTCTAATACCAAGATTTGAGGATGGTTTACCCCTTATTAAACATATGTTTTATGTTAGGAACTTGCACGAGAATATGAAGTTGGTTGTATTTAGTGAAAATCTAATCAAAGATGCACTATGGAAAGTTGCAAGAACCACTACAGTGAACACATTCAATGCACCATTGAGGAAGTTAAGGGTTTTAAATGTTCAAGCATTTCAATAGTTGGCTAACAAACATCTTGTAGAATGGTCAATGTCCCATTTCTCAACTACAGTCTACATGTAAGAGTGATATGCTTGTGAATAAGATATGTGAAAGTTGTAATCCTATGATTTGGGTGCAAGAAAAAATCCTTGATAAATTGTCTTGAGATTTAAAGAAAACATGGTATTGATGCGTAGTATATTTGCAAACAAATAATACCCGGAGTATCGGGTAATCGATCCACAGGGAAGTGGTTGTATCAAGCACTAGTTATTAATTTATTCTTCAAAGCTAATCCTAACAATTGACTTGGATGATAGGTTTGCATAAAATAAATAAAGTAAAGCAATGATTCAGGGGTTTCGAAAACAATGGGGAAAGACTGAGATTCCTGAGATTTAAGTGTTTATTCCCCTAGTGCCTAACCTAATGTAATTTAAATCTGGGTTCATACGAGTGTGAGGATGCAAAGCGATTAGAGCTACTCTCGTAGTCACTAACACTGGTGAATATCCACTCCCGTGCGATAATCACCCAATAAAACAAGAACAAGCATCATAAATTCCTAACTACTACCATCTCCCAAACTGGCAATAATCAAGAATTAAATCTCCCTAATAAATTACCCTTTCCCAAGGTGCAACAATTAGGTGCAATTGTGTATGCCCTAATTTATGCCTAACTCACGTTCAGACATGAACATGGCTATGAAGCAAGTAATTACGGCTATTTAACTACTAACAACAACAATACAAATCACTATTGCAACAAGTATTAAACCCAAATAATAATATATTAAAGAATCTGAGAGCTCAAGCACATAGGTTCATAAACACTTTAATCCAAGAATACCTAAGGAATTTAGCCAAGTATGACTAAATTATACATAACAAATATAAATAAAGGATTACAAATCATCAAAAGAATACAATAATGAACCAGACAATTCTCCCGAATCTCCCTAGTCTTCTTCTTGCTTCCCAAGATAACTTGTGGCTCTTGATTTCTCCCTATCTTGTCTCCAAAAAATCTCTGAATGAATATTAGGGTTGAAGAAGGTGTGATTTTATAGCTAGAAGCCCATAAGCAATCTTGATTGAAATAAGAATTCTGTGCAAAATTGGGCTGAAATTGTATCTGGACCGAAATCGAAATTTCTTTATTTTATTAATAAAAGATGCCGCCTCATACTTTAATTTGAAGGTTGAAATTTGAAGTTTGAAGTTTGAATTTTGAGAATTGAAGTCCACGCCTTAAGTTTTGGTTAATCAGCGCTGCTCGTTCTTTTGCTTCGCATTTTTCTCGACGCGTCGAGACTTCTTGGTCTCGTCCAGAATATTTTTTGGAACTTTTGGACGCGTTGAGCCTTTGCGTCGAACTCGCTGTGTATGTGTCCTTCGGTCCACTTCTGACCCTAAATTTGTCCTAAGACTTCCCTTGTTCATAACTTTGACCTACAATGGTTCAAAAACACTAACAAACACCGTAAAACATTTAAAACAAGTGAAGACCATAACTAAATGATAAAAACAAGGGTTTATGCAATAAAATACCAAAATCATGGACTTAAGCCTAATAAATATAATTAAATCGATACTAAAAATATGCACAATTAGGCTCACATCAGGTATGGTTAGACTATTTGAATGTAGGCTACAAACAACAAATTAGAGTTGCAAAATATGTTCAGTAAATGTTGATAAATTATATGTTTTCAAGAAACAAGCAGGAGGGTTTTGACGTTATCAATGTGATGACTACTTATTTAAAGTTAAAGGAGCTTATGATCAATATACAATAGATCTAAGGGCTATTACATCTTAATGTAGGAAATGGGAGTTGACAGGCATACCTTACAGGCATGTAATATGTGTTATATAGTTGAAAAGAAGAAAGGTTCCATTGTTTGATTATGTTGATCCTTGCTATTCAATTGAAAGGTATTTGAGGACATATGCAAGTAGTATTCATCTAATTGTTGGGCCACAAGAGTGGCTACAAACTAATAAACAACCACCATTGCTACCACTGTACACTGCAAAAGTGGGAAGACTAAGAAAGCTGACAAAAGATAGAGTGAATGTGTCAAGAAAACATGTAAAGCTTCATTGCACCATATGCAAGTAAGATGATCACAACAATAAAAGATGTCTTCAAAATGTCAATCCTAGAGCTGAAACTCAATTAATTATAATAAATTGCAATTTAGAGCTGAAAATAGTATAAATATAACATTGTTTCATATCTACAGAGGAGAATCATGGAACTTGTATATGAATGAGTTTAGAATGGATGCATACGAGAATGCAATAATCTATAAGCAGAGAACAAAATACTTTCATGATAAGAAAATCTTGAGGAGGCATTTTGAACCAGGAGATCAAATTCTACTCTATAATTCAAGGCTTAAGTTGTTTCTTGGGAAGCTAAAATCTAGATGGAAAATACCTTATCAAGTGATTGAATATTACCCTTTTGATGCCATCAAAATTGTTGTTGGATCATAAAAGTCATTTAC